TATAGTATTCATTACCTCCAGGTACAGATTAAGCATCTGATGTAGCCATATGAAGTGACATGCGTACATGAATCTTGGGCATAATAGTGAATAAACTGACATTACATTCACAGTAATTTGTTTCAATATGTAAAACATGTTGTTGCCTACATTTGAAAGGACTTGTAGGAATGTTGCAATGAAATCAGAGGAAAAATGCATAGTTGAATAGCATTCTCTATTATATGGATCTGACAGCTTCGTGAGGCTTCTTTGTAGGCTGCAGGTAGCATCATAAATATACATGTTTGTTTTCAGCTGCAGGAGAAACAGCCTGAAAAGAGAGATCTAAGCTTTTCAGACATTGGCTTGGCCTTTAAGGTTTAAAAAAAAAAAGAAAATCCCCCAAAACCCCAACCACCCAACCAACCAACACAACCAACTTTGTTTTTTAAAAAAAAAAAAAAAAAAAATCATATAAATATTGAGTAATGTAGTATTTTAGTATTGTGAATTTGGGAGTATTTCTTTCAGACTGAGCTTGTTAGAACAGGCAGCACCAGTAGGCTGGCTTGTCACCAAAGTAGTATCAACTTCTTTCACTTTGTTTTCTCTGGCCTAAATCAGGCGCTTATTTGTACAAACAAAATTGTCACAATTCTGACAGGGTCTCTTCCTTCCCTTCCTCTTTCCCTTGGGGGAGACCCAGGGAAGTGTTTGAGCACTGCACAGTGTTTTAATGGCTTTTTAACCTTTTATCATCTGGTGAGACAGGAATGCATTCTGTGTTTTACAGCTGGGAAACCTAATGTATAGGGTATACTAGACGCCACCAACCTCAGTGTGACCGCAGGTGACAGAGCTGGGGGCTGAACCTGGATGATTTTGCTCCAATTCACTAGGTGCTCTTACCACCTTTCGACAACATCCCTGCTGCACACAGCTGTAATTTGTCAGTGTTTGGAGATGTCATTGAAAACTGTCTTGTGACTTTGCTTCCTTCTGCTGGTGGTGTTTTTATAATGTGTAGCAGAGCTGCAATGACAGTTTGCTCTCTTGGGATCTTGTCTCTGGGACTGGGATGTGTTTATACCACACCAAAAATTGAAGTGAGAACTCTTGGCTCTACTTTTGACTGAACACTTTGCTGCCTTAAAGTGCCCCTCTCTCAAGAGTTTAAAATTTTGAATGTGATTGGTGTGAAGCCATTGAATTTGAGAAGGGAGCATATACTCTGCAAGAAACATCTCACTGAGCGTGATCTGAGTTTGGTGAGAATGAAGGAGTCTGCTGACCTCTCTGAGCTTTGTATCAGGGCCTGTAGAATAGCTCTGAGCATCTTTATCCTTGTCAGTACCTGTGATCCAGGCGTGCAGCTCACATGCTCTAAATACCTTGGAGATGAGGAATAAGGTGGTGATGGTTGCTCAGGTAAAGGAGGAGCCTTGTTGCGAGCTGTGGCTCCATATCAATGTCACTCTTGCCTTTTCAGAGGGAGCTGGCATTTAATTCTCAGTCCAGCCACTGGAGAGAGCTCTAGAGATCTTAAAAGGTTTCAGGAACAGCCTCGCAACAGAACGAGCTGCGCAGCAGGTGTGGGACTGCAGCAGGACTTCCACGATGTCTTCTGCTGCCAAAATCAGTGAGAGTAACTCATCTCTGTCAGGTGTACATAAAAAGCTCTGAGGATCAAGAAAGTGCGACAGCGTGTTACTTTGGAAAAGTTGCTGATTTGACTCGACTCTGAGGATAGGCCAAAAGCAGGCCGGCTGCCGCTGTGGCCTCCTGGGCTGGTTTTAAGCCAGCTGGTGCTCTCAGTACTGTGAAAGAGGGTTTCCATGCTGCCGTAGCACCTTGCCTGCCTTACAAACAGGGTCTGTCAGCTGTTGATACCCAGGTTAACTGGTAGTATCTGTGCTGGTAGTTACCCCTCTCGGGCTGCGTGTCTCTGTCATTTCCCTTTCAGAAGGAAAGTGGGGTGCTGGGGGTTCAGTGAAAGGCAGGAACTTCAGGATACAGCTGACATCTTCCAGCCTTCCCTGTAGAGGAGTGTTTCCAATTTAAAAATAAATTAAAAAAAAAAAAAAAAAGAAGAAAATGGAAAAAGAAAAAAAGAAGTTGCTAGTTAAGGCACTAATAATTAGATGTTGCAGAAAGGGGGCGTAGGCTGGTTGTAGCTAGAATTTGCTCACTTACTCGCTTTGCTAGAATTGGTTCACTGATCTTTGTACTTGTCTATGGCCTGGTTGAAAAGCGACACTTTCCCCCTCAGAAGAGGCTTACAAAGCTGTGTTAGGGTAGGCTACAGACTTTCACAGTGAAGAATCCCCTGAAATATCAAGACACAAGCTGTTGCTGCCCAGCTGGGAGGAACCTAATAGAGATGTCTGGGAGCAAAGAGTGGGCTGGTTGTGTTCTAACCAGTGTATTTAAGGTCTCAAAAGTAGTGTGGGGGAGCTTCTCTGCAGGAAAGGGTATATAAGATGTAAAGGAGAGGACTGCTGGCTGTTGCCTAGGGCCAGACAAGATCGACCTGCTGCCCAAGAGGAACTTGCTCAAGAGTAAGCTCTGGGAACTGAGCAGCAGAGGACCATCCCCTGAAGTGTCCCTTGTCAGCTGGAGAGCTCAGGGCTGGGCACTTCTTAAATAAGGTCTTGGACATTAACAGAAGCAGCTGGCAGGTGGCATCTTAACTTCAAGTGTTTTCACTTTTTGTTCTCTAAATACTGTATTACAAAAAGACATCACCCTCCACAGCTTGGTCCAAAGTCCAAAGCAAACCAACGAAAGACCACTGTTTTGATGCAGTTGTGGAGGACAGTAGCTGAAAGAGTTAGTGCCCAGCCCTGTATAAATTTGGTTCAGAGTGAGTTCCCCACCACAGTCCCAGTCTGGATTGAAATGATGTAGGCTCTCTGTTGACTTCTTTAATTTAAAACCATTGTGCACTTTGAGAGAAGGACCTTTTCTTTTAACTTAAATGTGGTAGCAGCTGTTCGTTTAGATATGTTCAGTAACTAGTTAAAGAGCCCCTGGCCCTTGAAATGCTGTATTCAATAGCTCTGATAAGCTAGTGTGATGCTACATGAAACTTAGAAGTACAAACTGGCTGTCTTAGCAAACAGGAGCCCACTCTAAGCTTTGGCTTTGGATTCAATACTACAGCATAATATCGCTTTACTCCTCTGCACTAGGCATGATGGGTAAGAATTTAAGAATAAACAAATCCGTAACTCTCTCAAATGCAGGCAGCTTGATGCTTCTGCCCTATTGTAGCATCTTGCAGCTCCAACAGCTTCCAAAGTAGGCTGGGGGGTTTGTGCTGCCTGCCTCCCTTTTTGTAAGGGAGCAAACAGGATTGAGGTACCTTAGTTTTTAAAGGTAAGACTTCTAGTCTAATGACTATTTAGAGGGAAAATACTTTCACCTCAATAAAGTTCTTTGAATTATAAAGGACGTTGCTGTTGGGTTACTGAAAACCCTTGGGGTTTGTTTCATTTATAACATTGCCTCAGGCCTTCTGCTGCATCCTGTTGGATTGACCTCCTTTTCAACCCGTGCTGGCAGCTGCATTGCAGAGCTATCTTTTCCCTGAATCCTTCAGGGTTGTCATATGACAAACTTGAACCGTGACCCCTTTGTGTCTTACCAGGACAGCAGTGCCCTCTCTGTGCGACGTGGCCAGCAGTCTTCCCCATGCACACATTTGTTCCAAGCCATTTAACAAACTGAAAGTTTCAAATGATGGCATTTCATAGTGTTTAATAGTATTGACTGTAAAGCAAATGAAATGGTGCTGAATACCCTGCATGCTGCTAGTAAGAAATACAGCTTCCATTTCTGCAATATGCCCTGGGTTTTCTGTGGTTAGTGTGTGCTCTCTGGTGAATCTCCTTATTTTTTTAATAAATTTCAATGCTTCCCCCTTAACAACAGTAGCATTCACTGCTATAGATAATCCAGCACTGGTATTTGTTTCTAATATATGGGGTTTTTAACCAGATTTCTCTAAGCAAAGTGGGCAAAGTCATTTTGCTGAAGTCTTGCAGAGAGTGTTAGAGTAAGAATTTATATAGTTAACACGGCATCCAAGCAACACCATCTCCAAGTGGTGTTGATGCTGGCAGGCATTGCCTTACTGAAGTTACAGAGACTGAGCACTCATATTTGTACAAATTGCATTCATTACCAAGAACCCTCCAGTAGTGATAAGAGACTGGCTGTGTAGCATAGATTGGCTCCAAGATAAGTAGCCAGTCTATTGTGCAGCTCATGGTAATCTTCCTCCTCCCCGCCCCTAATAATAAATCTTGGGGCATTTTGGAATGCGTGGGGGTTGCTCATTCCAGTAGCCTGAATATATAACTACTAAATATCATCATCTCCTACCAATTGTGCTTTCATAACCAAGCGAGGCAGCCGACTGAGATGGATAGGCTCACATACAGTGTTCTGAACACACAGATGCTTCCACTGTGGGTATTTGTTGCTCCCTTAAAGCACAATTCACAGGTGATGGCCAGGGTAAGAGTTTCTCCCGGCAGTGTTTCAAGGCTAGAGCCCACTCACAGTGATGGTTTTCTTCAAGAATAGGTGTGAACGTCTGAAACCTGGGGGTTTGCAAGTGGGAGTAAGAGCTGCACACAACCTGGGGCTCTGCACAGGAGCTGTGGTACCTTCTTCATTGTTAGCTTGTCCTCTCGGTGCAAGCGTCTACGTAGTATGACTTCAGTGAAATGGCAGTTAGTTACCTTACTATAATAATATTTATAATTAAAAAGTTTTAAAGAAAGATAGAATTTTCTGGTTGCTTTGATGGAAATAAACCATCAACTGTCAAGTGCTTGCTTTGTCTTTTAAAGTATCTAATGTGCAAGAATTTCTGGATTGCTGGTTTTCAGCATGTAAAGCTGAAGGTCAGCAGTCTAGTTTTATGCAAATAGGCAGTATAATTCAACCAGTTTGGTTAAAAACTTGCATTTCTATTGAATTTTTTTTTTTTCTCTTTCTCTCCCATTTAGGGTTTGAATGGCAGTGGAATTGCTCCTGGATCATCAGCTTTTAGCCTTACAAAACAGCTGCTCTGTCCAAGAATAACACGCGTCTGTCTCAGGGACTTGATTTTCTGCATGGAACAAGAGAGAGAGATGAAGCATTCTCTAACCTTGTACCGTGCTCTTCTGAAGTGATTTGAATTTTACATTTCACCTTGCTGTCTACTGCCAAAGAAAACACTGAAGCATTGTTGCACTGTCTTGAAATTCCAATTTCTGGAAACTGATCCGTTGTAAGGATAACTCTTGTTTACAGATAAACGTTTTTATTAAATACCTAACTTAGCACCTGTAGGGTTTTTAATAATATTTGGCTTAAACCAGTCTGTAAACCAGTGAAAACACTCAGCTGCCACACACAAGCACCTGACTACCTGCTTGCATTTGACTGTCTTGCAAGACATGATACATGTCCCTAGTTTATGTACGTCGCTTGCTTCAGTACTCCAGAGTCTGCAACATCTGTTCTATGTGTAGTGCCTTCTTCTAATCCAACCTCATTTAGGGAAACAAACAACACTTTAAAGGCACTGCATAGCATGGCAACTGTATTTAATCATGAACCAGCAGTCAGTCAACATGCTAATGTATTGCCTACCTGACTCAGCATCCCCTTAAGTTTTCTGGTTTTAGAATTGCTACTGGATGCTCGTTTGTGGAGAGCAAAGTAGCAAGCAAAAGGAATTGAGGGCTGCTTTCTTCTCCCCAACCCCCCTCCCTCCTACCCCCAACCTAGCTTCAACCGCCCTCCCCCTTTTCTCTGAGAAAGTCACTGAGGGAAAGTGAACAAATTGGTCATCGTTCTTGTGACTGAAGTACATCCGACAGTGTAGTTAGGGCATACTTCAATGTCTGGGGAAAATTTGGAGTTACTAAACTTGAATACAAAGAGTGAAAGAGCCTAAAAAGGAAGTGTAAACAGTTTATGTAGATATAAAAAATAGCATTGAACTTGAGTATAGATGTAGAAAGAAATGAACAAAAGCAACCTGTGCTGACTGCAAAAAAGAAAGCTTGAGATGCACTGAAACTTAGCAGCTGGAGACTCTTTAAGGAGAAGAGCAGTGTTTGCAAAGCACAGGATTCACTACTTTATTTAAAATATTGATTTAATACCTTAATGTGGTATAACAGGGGAAACTTCCCAAATAGAATGTATTTAGACAGTTGCCTGGTTTCCATTCAGTAAGGAGGAGAACTGGATTATTAAGACAGCTAGAATAGATTCAAAGATTTTCTACTTGCTGGTAAAGACTGCCTTGTGGTGGAAGGAAAACCCTCTGGGTTCACCTTCCTCCCCAGCCTCCAAACATTTTGCCTTCCATGACACAGTGCTGTATAGCATGGCTGTTTTCTAGGACTGGTGGGAAAGGTACTGACAGTATTGAATGGCTTCCTGCTGGAACTTTTTTCTTTTAAGGAACAAGCTTCCTATGATTATTTGCAATGCTACTTCAAAACTTGAAGTGATGATTCAAACGCCCTCCACCATCCTGCAGATAATTATCCAATTCAGTAAGTTTTGAATCGGTTATGGGTTTTTTTTTGTTGGTACAGTAGTAAACAAATCTAGTAAATGAATGCTGTAAATTATTTATATATGTATATATAGCATATATATATAAAAAAGAAAAGCAGTACTTTGACTAAGCTATAGTTTGCAAGATATTGATGGCATCAGGCAAAATTGTTTTGTATAATTAAATGCTTAGCTTTACTTTTTACGTAAAGTGCAGCATTTTCCATATTTGTGTACTGTATCTTATTGATCAGATGTTTAAAATTATTTTAAATACTGCATTAAAGCAATTATTTTATTAAAAATAATAAATTGGTAACTTTGTTTCCTAACGTGAGAAATTCAGCGTCTGAAGCTGTCGTCACCATGACTAATGGCGTGGCTCTGAGAGCGAGCCCCGGCTATCATCCCATCACAGGAATTGGCATGGTTGCCTCACGTGACGTATTAATGATAAACATCTATATTTTAAGGTTTTTAAACAGAACTAGGTGACAGAGCAAAGGATTACTTGAAGGGGGAGTGGGCAGCAAGAAAAATCAACCTTTCATTTGTCTGATTTCCCGGTCAGTCAGCACAGAGGCTCGGGTGCTTTTTGGTTTTTCTTTAACAACTGGGCAGAGGTGAGTGCTTTGCACGTGTTCTGGGAAGTAAAAACACAACAACAGTCTCAGACTTTAGCAATGTGCAGTGGAAGCATTGTCCTAAATTATTTTTAAAGCAACTTATAATTAATTAAGTGCAGGTTGGAGAACAAAATATGAGCATCCACATACTGGTCTCCGTCTTCATCTTCTTTAAACCAATACGATATTAAAATTAAAGATGTTGGAGAAAATATCTTAATTGATAAATATATATAAAGTATGATAAATGATTTAAGATTTTTATGGCCTACCTATGCTGTGGATTGCCTGCTTTCATTGCTGCCATAGCAAGTTGTCTCTTTCATCAGTATTTCCTCCCTGTGTGCCTCCTCTTCCCCCCTTCATCCCCCCCCAATAACAAAATCGCACCCCAAACCCCAAAATTTTATCCTTTAAGGAGTAGCAGGCATTTTTAGAAAGCTTTTTCAGCAGGTCTTTGGGCCTAATTTCAGACAGGCACAGACGAGGCCTTGGTGCAAAGGCTAAAAATACTTATCTCCTGCCCAGGGGTTCAGCCTGCCTCTCCCTTGAGCTCAACTTTGCTTCTGAGAACAAGTGTCCTCCAAAGTGGCACTTAGGAGACACTTGGGCTTTGCTCAGCCACACCAGCAGTTAAAGGAGAGATGACCAGGGGCTCACTTTGCCCCTCTATTCCCCAGTTGTGCTGCCCTTTATGGGAACACTAGAATCTCAGTCACGGGGAGATGAGGACAAACCCTGGCACCGTGCTCCCTTGCCTTGGCTCTCGGCATGCTCGCGTCCAAGCCTGGGAACCCAGCAGCAGAGCTGTCTGTGCCACCGATGCTTCGAGGGGTCTAAAGCTCGCTCCAGGCACTCGTGGCTGTCCTGGTAGCCTGCTAGCCTAGTGGCTATTTCTGATACACGGAGCTGCCTGGGCAACTGTCTCTGTCAAGTGAGTATTCAGCCTTTAGAGCAAACAGTATATACAGTTGCGGGAAAGCTGTTGTTGCTGCTTCTTGATTACTACTATCTTAGCAGCATAGTTTGCCGAGTTTTGTATGTTACGTGGTGACAAAAGGGGCCCTGTACTTTTTTCTCTTCCAGCTGCTGCTTTTTCCTTTTATTGCCATTTTCAAGTCTTACCACTGAATCCAGCCCTTTGCACTGTTTTTGGCTCCAACTTTTCCCTTCCACCCCCCTGGCAAAGACTAGCCAGAGTGCACTAACACACCCTGCAGCTCTGTTCACGGTTTAATGAGGAAGGTCAGGTCGTGGGGGCCTATGAGACATTGCTAGGTGATTCCTCAAGGCCACTGCACTCTCTTGGACACTTTGACACAAGTAGTTTAAGGCTCCTGTTTGCATCAAGTTGTTCTAGGCCCGCTCTCTTGTAGGCACCTGTGTCCTGCCATGTGAGCAGACAGTGCTCCACAGAAATGCTGTCAGCTGTTCTCCGGGTTCATCCCTCTGCTCTGCTCTTTGCTTTCCTCTTCCTTTTTAATCGCGGGGGTGAAGAAGCAAAGTCTAAAGCAAATGCGGATGTCCTGAAGGGGCAGACAGTCCAAGTGAGTGGGCTTGGTGAAACGGGCTTGTTCCCAGCAACTTTTCAAACGAGGGCATCTGGGTTTCTGAGACCAAGTGCTGCACGCACTTCCCTCTGCACGTAGCACACACGTCTACACGTACTCTGAGAGCTGGATCCAGCCGATGTTATCCCAAGTCCCAAGGCTGGACCTTGCAGCTCTGAAGGTAACTGAAAACTGCAGTGAAATTTTTACTGCTTTGATGAGTGCAAAATCGAGTACCAAGGCTGAAGAACGTAGCACAGCAGGCTTTTCTGTTTTGCCACTTCTGGTACCGGTCTCGTTACCACGTGTCAGTGGCTTGTCCCACCCTCATCTGGTGGCAAGGCTGTCTATCTGCAGGCCACAATGCCAGTGTGTCACTTGGTGCAGGCCTTTTGTAAGATCGATGAGCACCCCTTTTGGCTTTGTAACACTTAGAAGGAATAATCAAGAAACCAGAATAATCAAGAAACCTTGTATTTTCCTTCCAGATACATCAGTCCTTGTTCCTACCGCCTCTTCTACTGTAGGCATGAGCTGGTCACTCCTTGCCTGCTCTCTCTAGCTATATTGGCATGTTAGCTGATAATTTTCATACCCAGTTTCTCCTCAGGATCCCCTGCTTTACAGTTCACAGGTTGCTTCCAGGCAGCCTGCCCCCCCAAAAAATGATTTTTGCTGTGAAGGAGGGAGGAAAAGGAGGATCTCCATCCTGGACTTGAATGGCTATTCTGAAGTGGAAGGAGGTGGTGGTGCAGGTCAGCTCACGTCAGCCCTGAGGCTGCTACTTTCTGCAGGGAGCAGATCCTTGCAGGAAGTCTGCGTTTCATGGTGGCCAAGACTTCTACCATTAAGTCCGACTTTGGTCACGTTTTCTACAAGGTCCTTGCAGCAGCAAGTATTTCCCGCTTTCCCTGACAGAGTCACCCCAAGTTCCTGCCGGAGACCCCTTCAGAACTGTTCTCTTCCTCAACCCTCAGCTCACAGTCCCACAGCTCTTTCAGGTATCAACTCTTCAGTCTGCTTCTGGCTCAGAAGTAGGAAAGGGTATAGAGCCGCGTCTCGCGTGATTCAGGTGGACACTGGGTGGTGTCAGGACCTGTGCTGAGGGCCCAGGGGGTGACCAGTAGGTGTTTCTCCAGAGCTTTGCCCATCAGTAGTTCACTGAGAGACTGCCTCCCCTGGGGCTGCCCTGGTGGGAGGGAGCAAAGGTGGGGGTCTTCTGCGTGGGTGTTGCTAAGGCAAAAAAGTCATCTTCATCTCAGCAGCTTGGCATGCGTGCTCCCACTCCACAGGCTGTACTTGAAGAACTGCAGTTATCAGTAAGCAATTACTCTCTCTACCAGATCACAGGGAATATTATTTTTAAATCTATTTGGAATGAAAAATTATCTGACAGATCTTCTGTATCTGTTTTTGAGAGCTAATTCATAATTATGTGTAGTTCCCCAAGCTTCTTGAGATATTTGCACTTCCACTTTGAAGTGTTTAGCGTGACGGGGTTTATTATTTACAGTTATTTGAAGGTGTTTCTTGTTTCTGTCCTTAGAAGCTGGAAGGGAGGAGGGGAAGTACTTTTTTTTTCAAGTAATTATGTGTGAATATGCATGTACTCTGTGTGTATAAGGATGGCTAAGTAACTTTTAAAAAGAAATACCCTACTTCTTGTAAAGACTGAGTTCTAACAGCTCCCAGGTGTGAAACTCCAGCAACAAGGAGAGAGGGAGTAAGGAGACAAATTCTTGAAAAGGATGCAAGTTTTAATATGTTAAAATTCTTTGATACCTTTGTGCAAAATTGGGCAGAGAATAAAGACTCCCTTGAAGAGCTGATCAGCGGGACTTCTCAAGAAGGGCAGGTAGGAAAAGGAGATTGCACGTGGAAGATCTAAGACAGAGCTCGCTCCTCTCTCCAGGAGCTTCGGTGATACTTCTATGTGTGTTCTGGCAGAGGTTTTCACTTACAGAAATGACAGAAAAGGGCCTTTTTAGAAAAGAAAAAATCTGTCAAAGTAGGTGGGTATATGTATGCAGGCTACTTATTTAATGAAGCAGACTTATTGAGGAAGAAATCCTTAAATTGTTGCTTCTTGTCCAATGCAGTTTTCATACTTAACTTCACGTCTCTTACAATTTGGAGAAATCCTCTGTAATCATCTCCCTTTGAAGAAGTGACATGAAGGATTATTGCCAACTGCAGCCCAGTGCTGTGGTCCAGCGACAGAGCTGAAGCACTGTGGGATGCGGGATGGGGAGGACACGTGGTGTCCATGGGAGTGAGTGACCTGACTGACGCTGAAAGAAGAGGCTGGAATGAGCAGAAGATGTGTAGATACAGTAGACACTTGAAGATGTGTAGATACAGCACGGGCTATTCAACATCTTGGACCTGAAGCAGTTTTCCTTTACTGATGCGAATAAAACACAGATGGAGGCTTACAGCCCATGTGAGCATCTGCCTTGCATCGAGCTGGCATGGTGATCAGGGTTGCACTACCTCTTGCCAGGGCCAGGGCTGTAATTTTCTGCACCCTGCCTTTTGCCTGCTGATTCATTAGCCCTTTGCAGCACTGCTGGCCGGCAGTGCGAACTCAAACAGGCCTTGTCTCACACAGCTCTCAGTCTTTGCTTCTAAATTGAAAGCTTTAGTCTTCTTTATTACAGGGGAAAAAAATTGAAAGTGACCCAAACTTCAGGTACAGAGGGCAAATATTAAAAGTAAGGTCGGTTTTGCCTTTGAAATTCGTCGCTGCTTAGAGACTGTTGGTGAGTGATGCCCCAGAGCTGGGGAGGATGGCTCCAGAAAGAGATCCCCTCGAGTGTGCAATCAGCCCTTCACAGCAGTCTGCTGGGGATGCTGAAACAGAAATCAGTGTTTCGAGTTTTTTTTTTCCCATGCCATAAAGAAGAACCTGTGGGAAGGTTCTGCCTGTGTCCTTACACAAAACCAGGATATCCAGTAATTAGTGAGAGATACCTCCAGGGCAAGCTCAAATTTTGCAACACTTCCCAAGGCAGGGAGAATGCCCTGGGCTAGGGCAGTCTTGGGAAGAGAGTGAGTCAGGAGGCTT